CTTACCAGACAACTCTCTCCTGTGTATAAGACACAATCTTACCAGACAACTCTCTCCTGTGTATAAGACACAATCTTACCAGACAACTCTCTCCTGTGTATAAGGCGCAATCTTATCAGACAGCTCTCTCTTGTGTATAAGACACAATCTTACCAGCCAACTCTCTCCTGTGTATAAGACACAACCTTACTAGACAACTCTCTCCTGTGTATAAGACACAATCTTACTAGACAACTCTCTCCTGTGTATAAGACACAATCTTACCAGACAACTCTCTCCTGTATAGAAGACTGTCTTAACAGACAACTCTCTCCTGTGTATAAGGCACAATCTTCCCAGACAACTCTCTCCTGTGTAGAAGACACCATCTTACCAGACAACTCTCTCCTGGGTAGAAGACACAATCTTACCAGAAAACTCTCTCCTGTGTAGAAGACACCATCTTACCAGACAACTCTCTCCTGTGTAGAAGACACCATCTTACCAGACAACTCTCTCCTGTATATAAGACACAATCTTACAAGACAACTCTCTCCTGTGTATATGACACAACCTTACCAGACAACTCCCTCCTGTGTAGAAGACACAATCTTTCCAGACAACTCTCTCCTGTGTAGAAGACACACTCTTACCAGACAACTCTCTCCTGGGTAGAAGACACAATCTTACCAGACAACTCGCTCCTGTATAGAAGACTGTCTTAACAGACAACTCTCTCCTGTGTATAAGACCCAACCTTACCAGACAACTCTCTCCTGTGTAGAAGACACAATCTTACCAGACAACTCTCTCCGGTGTACAAGACACAATCTTACCAGACAACTCTCTCCTGTGTAGAAGACACAATCTTACCAGATGTACCAGACAACTCTCTCCTGTGTAGAAGACTCAATCTTACCAGACAACTCTCTCCTGTGTATAAGGCTGCCTCCAAACTCTTCATCTGGAAGTTGAACTTAACCTTTGTGTAGTTGACCTTGACCTCTGTTGGTTCGCTGACCTTTTGGGTAACCTGACCTTCAGATGCTAAAACAAAGAGTTATCAAGTGCTGCTTAGTAATGATACACAATGTCATGTAGTCACAAATAAAATAAAAAAGCTTCTCCAGTTAATTAAATACGATATCTAGGGACATTTGCAAAAGATACGACTCGCACTAGCATCGAGAGGGGGATTCCCCAGACAAAAGAGGGGGATTCCCCAGACAAACTAATTGTAAGACATTACGTTAACAATACATTGAGCCCATAATGTCAACATTCCATTATATAAATATTTGCAGAGTCGTTTCAAGATATATGTGAGGTAAATTACTTAGACAAATCAGCAACACCAATCAAACATCTTACATGTTCCCGAGGGTGACTCCTGTGTTACAGAAGTTTCACTTGGTTGTTCAATCCCTGTCTGACTTTGATCATTGTCCTCTGTTTTAACCTGACCTTCATTCAAATTCTCTTCCAGAAGTGACATGGCCATTTTGAAATCTCCCTGGCTCATGGTCGCCTACAAATCAACAACTTAGAATGTTATACCCGGTACATCAAATCTCCCTGGCTCATGGTCACTTAACAGAGGCTGTTTGGCCCTCTTTATTCTCAGACATGATGCTACATTTTTTTGTTTATTACATTTTAAGGCTTCAGTAAGCAAAACTGACACAAGTGATTTCATCTAGAATGTTACAAGAAACAGAGAACTGAGAAGTCTTCCTCTGCATACCTGTATATCTATAGATGTGTGAGAACCATAGCAAACGTTAAACCTTATCACCATGCCGACCCTGCTGACCACTTACCACAATGGCCTCCATTGACCCTGTGATGTCCACCTCGGGCTGGTCAGTGTACCAGGATATGGCCAGATTCCTGGTTACATTAAGAGAGATGGTGACCGGCTCTAGGATCAGACACTCACCGCGACTGGCCCCGGCCACGTTGAACACGTCCCTGAAATCAAACATTGGTAATTAGATTCTTTCTTAATATCAACCTGCCAACATGTCTGTAATTACCTCCCTTTGTAATACAACAGTAGTGGGAAAAATCAGATAACCAAATTTTGAAACAAAGGGAGCTAACTTTTGTTCTACAGTAGAAGCTAGCCTAAATTTAAGAAAGAAACAAAGGCAGTTAACCTACACAAAGGATTTTCATTTCTATAAATAAAGGGAGCTAACCTACATTGAAGATGAAAAATAAGGGGGCCTACCCCATAACGAACATGTTAACAAAGAAAGCTAACCTTTACCATGGAGACGTTAGCAAATGGGTCTCTTATGTTGAAGAGATTATGGAGTCTAAAGCGGGCTTTTCACTAAGGATTGTTTTTTCCAATCGGCCCGATCTGGCCCAGATTGTCCCCGATGAATTAAAACTTTTTATCGGCCCTATTGTGTTCCTGAATCGCCTCCAATTGTCCATTTTTTTGGCCCGATTGAGACCAATGGACCATGGCAGGGGACGAATCACAGACTTTCCCCGCGCAAGTATGCAAAAGTACGTGCAAGTACCCGCATGTACACGGCAAAGGCCTGGTAGAGACTTATTCTCGTGCGCAAGTGAGCGATCTTCTTGCGTTGTTCGGCCGAGAGAGGCAGAGAAAGGTTGAAAATGGGCGATCCCGGCTTGATTTCGGCCGCAGTCCGCCGTTCTTCATGCAAGAGTGGCCGAATGTAGGCGTATATTGACACAGGGAGCCACAGGAAACCAAAAGCAGCAGAGGCTATAAGCAGCAGAGGCTATACGAAAGCTTCAGAGGGCAGGCAAGACAAGGTGACCTTCAGGGGACCCTCGGACAACCAAGACGACCACGGGCCGACATTTTTTATACGGCTACAGTTGCCGATCACTTTTTCTGTACCCGACCAAAGGAGGACTGAGGCGATCGCGCCAGGCTTCCCCTGAAGGTATAGGGTAGTGCTCGACAGTGCTCGCAGGTTCCCGCCAGTTTAGGGGGAGATAACCTTCAGTATGACAGTTTAAGGGGAGATAACCTTCAGTATGACAGTATAGGGGGAGACAACCTTCAGTATTACAGTTAAGGGGGAGATAACATTCAGTATGACAATTAAAGGGGAGATAACCTTCAGTATGACAGTTTAAGGGGAGATAACCTCCAGTATGACAGTTTAAGGGGAGATAACCTACCTTGTGAGTTTTAACTGTTTCAGCTGGATGACCATTCGATCTAACACAGCTGGGATACCACTGCTGGACACCTTTCCTGTCAGGTGGAAGCCATTTTGAATACTGAGTTCACCAAAATCTGCTAGCAAGACTTCTCGAGACTTTGAACTCAATGGAATGACAATGAGAGGTGCCTGCATGTTGATGTTTAGACCGACACGTGGGGCCTTCTCCTGGAGTTTGCTGACTGCGTCTTTAGAGAATTCTGCCACAGACTGTCCAGCGTGGACCATCCGCTCCCTAGCAGCCTGGAAAACGGCCTGATCCTTCGCAGCCTGGAAGTTGTTCACAAATACCTGCAAACAAACATGGATTATACTTTTGGTTTATCAATTATGTAATCATTTTTATGTTTACATGGTCTTGATTTGGAAAAAACCCAACTTAAACCTCTAAGACATGTTGGGAATTATCCAAAACCTTCCAAAATGTATATTAGATACGAAAACAGGTACAATCCAAAACGATTGGCCATTGCTATTTGTTGTATGTTCAATGGCTACCTTTCTGACAGCATGACATACATCTTACAGAACACATACATCATCAGGTCAATTTTCCATTCGGTTCTTTGCTATTTTTTATACATGAACTTACCTGAATTTGTCCCATTTTCATGAAATTTGCTACACAGAAAATTATTCAACACTTTTATGAAACTTTGTCACCCAATTCCTTCAATTTTTAACCATGAAGAGTTGTTTGAGCCAAAAAATATGTTATGGCAGAATTTTGGATTGTTTCCTAAGGTAATGATGTTGCTTTTAGCTTCTACTTCAAAATGAAAAGTGATATCCCTAACCCTAACCACAGATATTGTTATCTGTACAACTAACCAGTAAGTCGTTGACAAATTTGTTGACGAAAACAAGTCGAATGCAGCCAAGCGTGACGTTGACACTGGTGTCCATGCATGACATGTCTGCATACTTAGCTCCCTCAGTGGCATGGTTATATATAGTAACATCAAGGGTCAACACAGCCTCACCCTGGATCTCCATAATCTAAAAAGAGTAATTTGGATAAACAAATCAAATGTATAGTGATTCATTTTATTAAATTCAACAAAATGAGTTATTGGCTGTTAGGTAGTGTGTCCAGTTAGTGGCTGTAAGGTAGTGTATCCAGTTAGTGGCTGTAAGATAGTGTGTCCATTTAGTGGCTGTAAGGTAGTGTGTCCAGTTAGTGGCTGTAAGGTAGTGTGTACAGTTAGTGGCTGTAAGATAGTGTGTCCAGTTAGTGGCTGTAAGGTAGTGTGTACAGTTAGTGGCTGTAAGATGGTG